TAGGAGGAATATTTGGAGTCATTATTTTGATAATAATTTATTTATTCGTATTTAAAAAGTATAAACCAAAAATGAAGAACACCATATTTTCTCCTAGAAATTATGAAAATGTAATGCCAATTGCTGGATCAGTTAAAGGTAAAGGATTACCAACTGCTCCTGGTGAAATATTTATTTCACATAATGATCAAACAATTGCAAGTAATTCTACAAGAAATCATCAGAATTACAATTATGAGCACGTTGTTACTTTTAAAGATAAAGCATTACCATCTGTTCCTAGAGAGATATCGATTTCAAATAATGATCAAAAAATTGAAAGTAATTCTACAAGAAATTATCAGAATTAAAATTACGAGCAATTTATTATTTTTAAAGAATCTCTATCTGCAAATAATTCTGCAAGAAATTCATCAGAATTACGATTATGAGCAAGTAATTACTATTAAAGAATCACCATCAATTCCTAGCGAAATATCAATTTCAAAATATGATCAAGGAATAAGTTAAGAGAAGAAGCATTGCAAGAGATTAAGCAAGAAATCAAACAGCGTTTAAGAAATAAAGCTTTTACTTAATGAAAGAAACATAATAAAAAAATATTTATTCGTTACTTTCAAAATACAATAAACTTAATTCATCTTGGATGTAATGGGTTTTTATTAAATTTTAAATGCTCCTTTTATTCTTTATCTTGAAATTCTTTAAAGGTTATTTTTCCCATTGACTCCGTTTTTCCTGTGCCGGAGGATCCAAGGAAAGAATTTAATAAGATTTTCAAAATATCTTTTTTAAAAGTACTGACCGCAGTAATAATAAATTTGTAATTGCTTTTAATACCAGTCATATGGTGTTTTTTTTTTTTTTTTAACGATTTGAACAATTCTTAAAACTAGAAATCAACTTAAGCAAAATTATGTTTTTGTTTTAACAATTTATTAAATAATCGTTACAGGTATAATAGAGATCTGGTTTTAGTAAAATAAAAGATAATCGAAGTTTATAATATATATATATTTATAAATATTATCAATCGTGAAATAACACCTTTACTTCATCAGTAAAAGACATTTACTTGTCGAATGTCCATCACAGGATTCAATTCGACTCATCATTTTTGTCATAATAATATACTTACCATTAACTACAACTTTATTGTGTCATAAGAAAAAATTTTATTCATGACTACTTCAAAGGAAGCATTTGCATAAGCTCATATGACCATGTTAAACATTTAGTATTCGATATTAATGTGTCATTAATAATTTTTATTTATGATAGATTCTGTTCTAATCGCCGAAAACATAAATAAAGGTAAAAGAATCTTTTTTAATTTAACTTCAAATAGACAAATGCCTGGCCTGGGCCAGGTAACTTTAAATCTATCCTGAAAAATTGTAAGATTGGCTGAGATATATCAAGCATGGCATGTTTTCTTACGCTAGGTAAATAAAATTGAAGGATAAATAAAAAAAGGTATGGTTATGATATCATAATGTATGATTAATTTTTCAAAAAAAAAAAACTTACTGTCACGAAATTTTAGCATTAAATGAAAGAACAGGTTAATATATAAAAATAAAATTTCGGAACGAAAGAAGGATTTTATTATTTAGAAGTTTTTTTACGATTATTTTTCAAACGATTTTTTCGTTAATTACGTAATCAATCTATAAATATTTCAATACCTATTACTGTTTTACCAATTAGAATTAAACTTCTTTCTGTATTTTTAGTTCACATTTAATTTTTATCAATAAATTCTTGACAAAAATAATTGACAAATTTTTCTTGTCGTTACCTCAAAGTCAATGACAATGCCGTTTTATTGTTCGAGACTTTCTTTAAGGTTAACAAATACATCAAATCTATGTAGTTTAAAATGATAAATAATGCATCGAATTTCTTAAAATATTTATTCTTATTATTAAAAAAGTTCAAATAAACAAACTCGTAGCGACCGATCACAAAAGTTGATAAACGTTACATTCAGATAAATATGCACATCCCGATCATTTTTCATTTGCTTAATTAAATTAAATTCAATTAATATGCTCAAATGCTCAAACAACCAGTCCAATAAAAATTATCGAAGAGAATCTATAATTAACGATGACAAGAGTGATATGGGTGTAAGGATGTGACTTTAAATCAAGGACCACCAAGAAGATGGTAAAGCACCAGAACCATCAAAAACACCCACAGTAACTCCATCTCCAGCGGTAAAAAAAGATAATACAGCTGGTCCAGTGATAGGAGGAATAGTTAGAGTCATTATTTTGATTATAATTTCATTATTTGTATTTAAAAAGTATAAACAAAAAATAAAGAACGACGCTATATTAACTCCCGGAGATTATGAAAATGTTAAGCCAATGGCTGGATCAGTTAAAGATAAAGGATTACCAACTGCTCCTGGTGAAATCTTTATTTCAAATAATAATCAAACAATTACAAATAATTCTACAAGAAATCATCAGAATTACGTTGTTATTTCCCCTCAACAAGAAGAAAATATAATTAAACAACCTGGACAAGAACTTTCAAAAGATGAAATCGCTAATCTTATTAAACAAGATGATTCATCGAATGAAAAAGCTTTATTAAATCAGTTAAGAGAGGAAATACAAGTATTAAAACAACGTTTAAATAAACAAAATGATATGAATAATTCTAGCGAAACTATCCTTAATATTGAAGATGAAGTCATAAATAAGTTAAGAGAAGAAGCTTTGCAAGAGATTAAGCAAGAAATCAAACAGCGTTTAAGAAATAAAGCTTTTACTTAATGAAAGAAACATAATAAAATAATATTTATTCGCTGCTTTCAAAATGTAAAAATATGAAATTTACCTTTTTAAAAGTACTGAACCGCAGTAATAATTATTAAAACTTAACTTTCCTGAAAGTTTTCTCTAAATGTTTTAAAAATTACATTACTATAATTGCTTTTAGTAGAAATTTTAAAAATAAATCGAAGTTTATAATATATTATCAATCCGAATATTTATTTCATCAGTAAACACAACAAATTTACTTTACTTGTCGAATGTCCATCATGAGATTCAATTTGACTCATTTTTTTGCCAGCTTAACAAAATTACCATTAACTGCTAACTTTATAAAGTCATAAGAAAATTTTTATTCATGACTACTTCAAATGTGTTATTAATAATTTTTATTTAGGATAGATTCTTTTCTAATCGCCGAAAACATAAATAAAGGTAAAAGAATCTTTTTTAATTTAACTTCAAAATAGACAAATGCCTGGCCTGGGCCAGGTAACTTTAAATCTATCCTGAAAAAATTGTACAGTAAAAAAAAAGTATGGTTATAATATCATATGTGTGATCAATTTTTCAAAAAAAAAAAACACTGTCACGAAATTTCATCATCACGTGTTTGATTATTCTCTAATAAATGAAGGACAAGGTTAATATATAAAATAAAAATTCAGAAACGAAAGAAGGTGTTTTTTATTAGAAGTTTTAGAATCATACGATGATTATTTTTCAATCGATTTTTCGTTAATGTAAATATTTCAATATTTATTATTGTTTTACTAATTAGAAATAACTTCTTTCCGTATTTTAGTTCACATTTAATTTTCTAAAGACATTTGCCAATACTATACTTACTCATTATAATTAATATTAGTGTTTTTTAAAAACTCTGTTGAGTTTTATTATCAATAAATTTCTTGACAAAAATATTTGACAAATTTCTCTTATCGTTACCTCATTATCAATGACAGTAGTTCGAGACTTTCTTTAAGGTTAACCAATACAACAATTCATTATGTAGTTTAAAATAATAAATAAAACATCGAATTTTTTTAAATATTAAAAAAAAGTTCAAACTCGATCATCAAAAAGTTGATAAACGTTACATTCAGATTAAAATAGAAATAATACAAAAAGCAAGTATAAATATGCACATCCTTTCATTGATTTACTCAATTTTATCATGATGAAACAATTTGGTCTAATTTTTTTATTTTTATTCATTTTAACTCACTTTTTACAAATTGAATTATTATACGCTCAAACAACCAGTCCAATTAAATTTATAAAAAATTATCGAAGAGAGACTTTAATTAACAATAATAAGGGTGTGACTTTAAATCAAGATGCACCTAAAGAACCAGCACCAGCCGATGGTAAAGCTCCATCACCAGCACCAGGTAAAGCGCCAGCAAAAACACCAGACGCTAAAGTACCATCAAACGGTAAAGTACCAGCTACAGCAAAAACACCTACAGCAACTCCATCTCCAGCGGTAAAAAAAGATAATACAGGTGTAATCGTTGGTTCAGTGATAGGAGGAATCGTTGGTTTCATTATTTATACTTAAAAAGTATAAATATAAAATGAAGAATAATGCTATATTAACTCCCGGAGATTATGAAAATGTTATGCCAATTGCTGGATCAGTTAAAGGTAAAAAAATTGTCAACTACTCCTAGGGAGATATTTATTTCAAATAATTATCAAACAATTGCAAGTAATTCTACAAGAAATCATCAGAATTACGTTGTTATTTCTCCTCAACAAGAAGAAAATATAATTCAACAACTTAGACAAGAACTTTCAAAAGATATTAAAAATGAAGTCGCTAATCAAAATGCTCAGTTAAGAAAGAAATACGAGAAATCAAACAAGTATTAAAGCGAAGGTTAAGTAAAGAAGATAAACAAGGCATACCATTAAATAACTCTAACATTGATGATGAAGTCATTAATAAGCTAAGAGAAGAAGCTTTACAAGATATTAAG